GGATGACCTGGAACTTCAGTCCTCCCCATCTCAGCCTCCCATGTAGCTTACACTGGCATATGTACATCACTACACCTAGCCTATGGGCTTGAGAAGGGGGAGGGTCTTGTGAACTTTTCTGCCCATGCTGTCCTAGAACCATGATCCTCTCATTCTGTCTCCTAAGTAGCTAGGACCACGGGCATGAGCCATTACTTACTAGCTTCTCACCTCACACTTTCATTGGGTTCCCTATGTCCAGATTACCTCAATAAGCTATAGTACTTCATATAAAAGACCAGAATTCCTCAAGAGGGAAGTAGCAATTATATGGGGAACCTGTAACACTTCTCACACTCTAGTGTGTATAATCAGGAGACTCTGAGAAAATCAGGGAGACTCTCAAGAAGAGGCTGGTGAGCAATAAACTTTCTACTTACTGCTTCTCCTGCCTTGGTCTGGATTTTCTCTAATTTTCCTTGTTGTCTCAGCTAGAAAAGAAATAGATGAAAATGAATTAAACGTATGAATTCATGTTAAGTAATATCAAACTCTTACTATGCCAGGGATAGGCAGGATTCCTAGATTCTTATTCTTCTATTTAAATTAAATATGGAAGGGGAGGAAATTCATAGAGAAAACTTTTCCTTAAATGTTTTGTTCCTCCAGGTTGCTCTTGTCCACTCACCAATTTCTCCTCTTCAAACAGCTTCTTGTTTTCGGGGGATGCATATACAGCTAGTCCCTGAGGAAGGAGTTTATTACGACCCACAGATTTTTTCACTGAGACTAGGTCACCACGGACTCCAAGTTCTGCCGATGAGAACAAGAAAAACTGGATCAAAAAACTATATGTATCACCAAAGAGAGATAACTGGCTTGGGTTATAGCCATGGGTCAGGGCCATGACCCAGGCCCTGAGCTCCATCCCCAGTTATGTGTGTCTTTGGGGGTAGCAGTAGGGTACACTTCCATATTTTCTTTAAAGTTTTCATTATTTCCTAAAAACAATTGTTATATTTAATAGGAACTACACTTGGGAGACTGGTAATTGTTTCTTTAGAGCCTTACTTAGAATTTTAGCATTCTGGGTATGATTTGTGAGTGAGAACCTGTTCAGAAGAGTTTATTATTTACAGAACAAACTGTCAGGTCTCTCCTTCACAGAATGGTGTGGTTGCATCCACATTTTAATTTTTCAGTATCACAATCACAGTTTTCTTTTTGGTTTTGTTTTTTTTTCCCCTGTCGGTCATGGGGCTTGAACTCAGGGCCTGGGCATTGTCCTTAAGCTTCTCTTCTAAAGCTCAACTCTAGCACCCTACCACTTTGAGCCACAGTGTAACTTCCGGTTTTCTGGTTGTTAATTTAAGGGTCTCTCGGACTTTCCTGCCCAGGCTGGCTTTAAACCGCGATCCCCGGACTTCAGTCTCCTGAGCAGCTAGGTTTTAGCGGCGTGAACCACCGGCGCCCGGCCACAATTACAGTACTTTTAATAGCTTCCTTTCCTCACGTATAGACAGATATTCTACAAACTAGAGAAAGGCAAACAGCGAATGTCAAACAGGATCAGCCTGAGGAGGGCAAGTACCTCCGCGCCCAGGCCTTACCGTCCACAGACTGCGTGAGGATGAGCTCCAGGTTCTCTTTGGGCCCGTGTTTGGTGTCCTCCACCAGCCGGTAGACGCGGTGTCGCCGGTGCAGGCGCGGCTTCCGGCCCTCCTTGGCCAGCGGCACCTTCCACCAGCGCTCCACGATGACCGTGTCCTGGGGTAGGGAGGCTGGGCTGAGTCACCACCAAGAAACCCCCCCCCCCGGCCGGCTGCGCCCCAAGGAGAGCCCGCCACGCCCCGGCCGGGCCCCTCCAACTCCCATCGCGCCCCAGAAATGACACTTGGACGTCAATAGCCCCCCGAGTGTCCAGGACCCCAGAGCCCAAGCCCGTCCTCACCCGACGACGGGAGAGACCGAAACCGCGCTGCAGACTGTCTGTGCCCCCATCAAGCCGCGGCCGGAGTAACTCCCGGGCTCCTCCCCGCAGCAGCGGCACAGCCCCGCCGGCCCGCAGCAGCGCTCGGCCGGCGGCCGTCGCCATGATGCCGGACTCAAAGGAAGACCCGAAGAAGGACCCCGGCGCCGGCGGCGGGAAGGGCCCTGCTGGGGCTGTCCGCGGCGCGCCTGAGCCGGCGCGCTGGGACCGGGAGGCGGCGTGGGGGTGGCCGGGACGCCCCGGCGCTGCCCGGCCGCGCGGGGAGAGCGCGTCCTTTCCCCTCTGCGCTCCCAGCTTCGGTTTCCGGTTTTAAGGAGCGGAGGGGGGAGGGGGTTATGTTCTTAATTATTGACAGATAATGGAATGATAATTAGCGCACTGACATCGGACAAGAAACTGTCTTCTTCTTGGCTTTAGAAATCAAGAGGGCTTGGCTTTAGCTCCAGGTGTTCTGAGGCCACGTCTCAATCTGCCCGTCCTGTTTTCTGCATGGGGGGGGGGGGCAGGAAATGCTTCTCTCCATTTCCTCCTGCTTTAACCCTGTTGTGACACTAAAATACATCGTTGCTAAAACTTTCACCTTGTGAGACTGTGTGTGTGCTAGTCCTGGGCTTGAACTCAACCTGGGCCCTGTCAAGGTAGCCCTCTACCACCTGAAACAGCTCCACTCCTGGCTTTTGATATTTATTGGAGTCTCACAGACTTTCCTACCCAGTCTGACTTTGAACTGTGATCCACAGATCTCAGCCTCCTGAGTAGCTAGGATTACAGGTACGAGACACCAGAGCCTGGCTGAGACTCTTCTTTTTGTGAGACACCTTGACATGTTTTTATTATATCAAGGACCTTTGATTTTGTTTGGAAACTGGGAACATGAGAAAAGACCTCATCCATTCTCCAGTGACATTTCAAACACGTTTGTGATTATCATTTTCTGTGTGTGTGTGGTTTCTGGAGCTTGGACTCAGGGCTTGGCCTCTGTCCTTGAGCTTTTGTGCTCAAGGCTAGCACTCAACCACTGGAGCAACAGCTCCACTTCTGGCTTTTTGATGTTCATTGGTGATAAGTCTCATGGACTTTGCTTTGGACAGTGATCCTCACATTTCAGCCTCCTGATTAGCTAGTATTATAGGCATGAGCCACAGGCTCCAGGCTCAATGTATACTCTCTTGAACTGTTCTAGTTTTATGCTATTTATAAGCCAAGAATTTCCAAATTTCCATCTCCATCCAAGACTTCTCACAAATTCTATACAAATATCCAACTGAGTATCCATTGTTTTCCCCTATGTGGCTAAAAGACATCTCAAAGTTAAAACTGTCCCAAACTAAAATGATTTATAACCCCACCCTCAAACTACCCAACCCTTAGCCTTTCTCATGCCAATTGATGGAAACTCCATTATTTCAGTTCTTAGACATATCTTAACTCCTTTATACTATTAGCAGGAAATTCTGTGGGTATTCCAAAGTATTTCAGAATTCAACCACTTGTCACCATCTCCCAGAAATAAGGTATCCCTGTAGATAAGGGGTCTTTTATAAAGTGGAGTCAAAGCATGCCATTCTGCAATCATTTCCCCTTTATTCAACAATGAAAGGCCATACAAGTGACAAAGTCTCTATAATCTCACTCCACAAGCTCTCATTGCTTGTATCAGCTCACTCATTGATATTGGCTATCTTACTATTTCTTAAAAACACTAGGATCATTTCCTATTTGGGGCTTTTACACTGGTTCTTGCTTCTTAGTGGGGCTCTCATATCCAGATGCTTGGCTTGTTAACATTAACTCCTTCAAGGGTTTGATGAAATGTTACTTTTCCAGTGAGGCTTACTTAGATCACCTGGTTACTATGCTCTGCTGCTGCATTCCCTTCATGATTCTTTACCCAGCTCTATTTCTACAGCAGTCTTCTTCTAATATTACTTATTTTCTAGGTTTGTTCTTTTATTCTTAGAAGTTTCACACAGCAGGAATCCTCATTTTCTTTACTATTGTATCCCAAGCACCTAGACTCACAGTGCCTGGCCTAGCGCTCTCTCTCTGTGTCTCTCTCTCATACACACACAGCTTTCCTTCTGTGTGTGTGCTTGTCCTGGGACTTGAACTTGGAGCCTGGGTATTGTTCCTGGGCTTTTTTGTTCAAAGCTAGCACTGTACCACATGAGCCACAGCAGAATTTCTGGCTTTTTTGGTAGTTAAATGGAGATAAGAGTCTTGTGGACTTTTCTGACCAGGCTGGTTTTGGACTGTGATCCTCAGATCTCAGCCCCTCTGAGTAGCTAGGGTTACCACTGTGAGCCCAGTGTTTAATATTTATTCATTCAATGTTTATTGGATGAATAAAGAATATATAGATGTTCACACTGGTGGTCTCAAAACCAAGGTTTGCTAACACATGGTTTCAATTTTTCTCATTAGCTTTTAAAGAAGAGTTTGGCACAAATTTTTTCTGGTTTTGGTTGAAAAAAACCCCATAAAGTCTGATACCACTGGCTCTGTATGGCAACCAGATGAAGCTGAGTTGTGCTGGTATCTTTTAAATAGGGTGTGAGTTCATTTCGTATGTAGCCCTGCAGGTCTAACTAATTTATATTAGCTGTCCTGGGCCCCTGGAGGTTTTCAGTTTTACATTCCTACCCTACAAGATAATGGAGAACTTCAATAATCTGTAATGCCTAAGTGTAAGGTAGAGATGTTAGTAAAAATATTGAATAGGAACTAAATAAGCAAATGTTCAATTAGAGTCTTGGAACTATTCTGCGGTGTCAGAACTCTTAAGTGGTGGGTTTTAGAAGGAGGTATCCCAGTGGAAGGTCCAGGATGGGTGAGCACAAGTGCTTGAAACGAATACAAACTTTAAAGTATTTAAAGTTTAAAGTATTTAAAGTACCTCTGTCAAGTGAATATGCGGTTGGTTAAGGAAGAGGGTGGGGCAAGCAGCAGCAGAGTGGAGTCCAGTGACATAAGGGCTGACTCAGTGCGTGTGTCATAGTGCCTTCCAGGTCACAATGGGCAAGATAGCTTGAACCTCTGCCGCTCGTCTCTGAACTTCACTTTGCCGCAGGGAGGCACTGAACAGAAAAACTGCCTTGTTACAGGTCCCGTCCCTCTCTCTACTCCCTTTCTTATATCAAGAGGGGAAAAACACGGAACTACCTCTACCCAATCTGGTCACCATACGCCTATTATCTTTACTGTTACAAATACCGGATCACCCTCCGGGAGAAGATGCTGCCCTGTTGTTACAGAAGGTACTTATTTTTTTTTATTTATTATAAAATGTAGGAAAGAGGAAGAATTTGAAAGTATTTCCCAACTGGTAGCAAAGTTGGACAAATCTAGCATGGGACTTGCACAACTTTCCCATTTGACTGCTTTAGAAAAATAGGCTGGTCCATAGATGATACAAAAAGACAGTATCAGAGGCTGGTCCTGTGTTCCTAGGTAATCCTAAGTATTTGAGTTACAGCCTAATCAGATTCGAATGTAAATTAACTTTACGTTTATTTTCCCAACTAGCATCACTTATAAGGAACAGGAGGACTTGACACTCCGGCCCCGTTGCTGCCTCCAGTGCTCCTGAGTCCCTAGGAGGTCTCCAGGTGGGCAAAAGCACTGAGCAGGAAAAAGAGCACAACCAGCTTAAAGAATTGTATTCGGTAAGTGAAATGTGAGCTGAGGCCATGATAGGGGCAGAGTGTTAGTTGTAATGTTTAGAGGCCATTAGCTAGTTGGAAAAGTCTCATAGAAAATTAGAGGTAGATAGTACATTGGAGCTGAGATGTAATAATGACTTGCTTTATAAACATATAGACTTGCTTTATAGGAATATGGGACATAAAGCTGTTTAGATGCTGACCTAGAATCTAGAACTCCTTCATTTATCTTTATATCATATTGCAAGTAACATTCCTAATCATGATCTTAGAAAAAGTTTGAGAGAAAACTGATATGAGAAAATAAGTGGAGTAAATAGAATAGATAAGGCTTTGTTTAAACAGTAAGCTGTGTACTATGGTACACACCTTGTAGTCCAAGCTATGGGGGAGCTGAAGCCTGAGAATTGCTTGAGTCTGGAAGTTCAAGGCCAGGCTGGGCAACATAGTGAAACTGTCTCAAAACAAGATAAAAATAAACTGTAAATATTTGTACATTTCTCAATTAGTCCTTGGGATGAGATCAGCATCCAGTAACACCCCATAGACTGCAGATCCGATACCAAGTAGAACTCTTAACAGGAATGGCTATTAGTTCCTAGGTTTAAGGGAGACTTTTGAGACAGATTCCACTTCTCCCAGCTTGTTTCATTTGACTTATCTTGCTTCCAGAGGCACCCAAATCTGTACAATTTGACTTGTGGACACTGAGGCAGTAGACTATAATACTTTTGGTAAGAAGAAGAATATGAATATTTTTTATTCCTTTTCCAGGCTGGGAACCTGACAGTGCTGTCTACTGACATTCTGCTCCACCAGGATCCAGTTCAGTTAGACTTCCACTTTCGCCTCACCCCCCATTCCTATGCCCACTGGCACGGCCTTCTTTCTGACCACCGACTCTTCCTGGACATCCCATCTCGGGCCTTAGATCAAGGCAATCGGGAAAGGTAATTCAGCTAGGATGAGCCAGTTGGGGAGGGAAGGGATGAAGGGATTCCATCCTTTTGTTGTGTCACAATCAGTAAGTGGGCTGATTCAAGAACTGGGTAGGACACACAAATCAAGTAGCATGTGACCCAGAACCTTTGGTGTTCAAGGGAATAGAGCCTATGGGAAGTTGCAGGACTGATTCAGAAACATAGAAATGAGAATCCAGAAATAACAGAATAACGAAAAGGGCTTTCCAGCTTCTTGTCTTAATAGGCCTTTCTTCCTAGACTTTTTCTGTGGTTTATATTTCAGTCCAGTCATAATTCTTTGGCTTCAGAGAAAAAGCTATCAAATCTAGTTTAAAAACTTTGATTTCTTGGTCTGGGCAAGTGGACAGCAAAAGCGGAAAAATTTTTCTAGACCCTGAGTTGACTTGTTCTCTCTGGCCCTCTAGTTTGACAGCAACATTGGAGTATGTGGAGGAGAAGACCAGTGTGGACTCTGTATTTGTGAACTTCCAGAACAATCGGAAGGACAGAGGTGGGAATCTGCTGTTTTTTTTCTTGTCCTTTCTATAGAGGCAGCCAAAAGCTTATTTTCCTTTGTTAGAGTCTCTCTTTCCTGGTATTTCAGGGATTTTTCTTCTCCCCCACTACAAAAGAAATTAAATCACTCAGTATTCTGTTTACGTACATTTTGTAGCTGAACTAACTAAAAGTCCCTGGAGGCAGTGTCAGAGTTAGACTGAGGGAGCAATGATAAAATTACACAGAAAATTCAAGAGATGTGGTGGACCAGGCAGGAGTTCAAGGGAATGTATCATTCCTTATGTGAAAGGATTGGGCACAAAGCCAGAACTGGAATACATTTAACCAGATAGATGCTGTGTTGAGACTTCATACACACAAAATTAATCTTAAATTTAGTGAAGAAAAAGTTCTAGGAAGTCTCACAATGAGAGAATTGAACATCAGAAGTGTTAAAGTCAGGGCTGGAGCCTAGGTTTGCTTCACACCAAAACACATCCTAAATAGAGTCTGTACTCTACTGCTTCCATAAATCAGATCTCTGAGGGAATATATGGGATGAGCTAATCACTTGTTCTAATCATTTGTACTGTCCTTTTACAGGTGCCCTGCTTCGGGCCTTCAGCTACATGGGCTTTGAGGTGGTCAGACCAGATCACCCTGCCCTTCCTCCCTGGGGCAATGTCATCTTCATGGTGTATCCCCTAGAAAGGGACCTTGGCAACCTGCCTAATGCGCCTCCCTAAACATGTTTATTCCATCTCTGTGAGGGGCTGGAAGCCTTGATACACGGGACTCAAGACCCCTAGGATGTGACTCAAAACAACTCCACCCTAGGAATAAAGGGTAGTGCAATCAAAATGTGTCCGCTGTTTCTTGGATGGGGGGGGTAGTGATGACCGGGGGTACAGAACTAAACTCACTGTAGGGTGAGTTTGGTGATTAAAAAGACCAGAGGCACCTGTGCCACAGAGGGAAAGAATTCAATTTCCTTTTTCCATTCCCTTATCCCAAGCCATTTATACATCCAAGCCATTTATACATCCTATCTATTTGCATAAATGTCTAAGGCAAAGTATTACCAACCAATTAGGGAGCTCAAAAAGACGGTCTTGTTGGGCCCAGTTGGCTCATGCCTGTAATCTCAGGAGGCTGAGATCTGAGGATACCAGTTTGAAGCCAGCCTGTGCAGGGGATACCAGTTTGAAGCCAGCCTGTGCAGATAAATCTCCGTGAGACTCTTATCTCTGATAAACCACTAAAAAACCAGAAGTGGTTCTGTGGCTCAAGTGGTAGAGGGGTAGCCTTGAACATAAAGAGGCTCAGGGACAGTGCCCAGGCCCTGAGTTCAAGCCCCACAAGCGACCAACTAGATCTACACATTTACACATTTCAATGGAAATTGGAGACAAGTGCCAGTTCTGTTTGGAGAGAAGGTACATGGATCACAAAATGCAAAAAAGAGTGTATTCCAGATAGCAAGTACAGGGTTGTATTGGAAGAATGAATGGAATTCACAGGACGGGATATAAACTGACAAGACATGAAGTGAATAGATTTTTACCCCATGACCAACAACAACAAAAAGGAATATTTTATAGTAGTAAACTGCAGGTAAGACTGAGGCACTAATTTTCCACCAAAGGGGGGTGAAGTTCGTGCTATCTTTGATAGCAAAGACCCTAAAGGAGGAGGAAATTCCACATAGTATCAGGGAAGATCTCACTAACCCCTTGATATTAAAAAGGGCCTGCATAAGGCATCTTTATGTATTTTTTTCTAGTTTACCTTTCATTGTTCACTTACCATTATCCTCCTACCCACATTACATATATACATACCTTCAATTACCTTCACAGTTCTCATTAGAGACAATACTGTCACAAATGAAAAATTGCTCTTAAGCATTCCTTGAATCCAGGTTTCCAGAATCCGAATCCAGGCTTTTTACAATAGTTTAGGTGAGGTTTTATTTACATAGCCTAACCTTGAGTTGGCTGATTTGGAAGTGACTCTGGGGGAAGAAAGTAAATGTGTGTATGGAAAGACACTTGTTTTACTGCCTCTCTATATAAGGCAGTTGATAATTCTCATGTGATTTAGGCTTAGGTGGCCAATGAATACTTAGTTTAAATATTTTTGAGATTTTTATTCAGTCCCCCAAATGATTTGAACTTTCAAGGTGTATGTATATACATATATAGACACTTTACTAACACTTTACTAGCAATTTACAGCATTTCCTGAGCTGTCTTTTTTACTTACATTTTAATTAAAGTTTGTACTTGTACACACACACTTGTCTCCAATAACCTATCTGAAATTGTGGCTGGGAGGTGGTATTCTTTCCACGTCCTGCAGCTCAACATTTTTGCTGATTTTTGCCTTTGCTTTTCAACTCAAATACTACTCATAACACTTCCTGTAACAAGAGTCACCTGATAGGGTGAGTCACAGTCTTCAGAATCATCATTTCAGTGCCCAAACTCTGGCTGTTTCCCAGCCTTGAAAGACACAGCCCCACAATAATGCACATTATGACTGGCAGAGGAGACCTAGCTTGACTCAGACCCCTGAAAAATAACAGCAGCAGGGTGGGGGTTGGGAGTAAAGTGTAGGGAGGATGTTTTTGTCTCCCTCTTCCCCACACACTTTCTGGTAGTCCAATGGGAGGAGAAAATGAATTTGGTCCAAGCCAGACTCTGTAACAAAGGAAGGACTGCATGGATCTCTATTGGAGATTCCTCTCTCCTGGCACCAAATCCTGCCAAACAGAGGCAAAAAGCTTAAAGAGTCAGTATGAAGCAAGTTAATCAGCAGGAAAGCAGCTGCAGAGGATTACATGAAGGTAGAGTAAAGGGAAGGGGTAATAAAGTTAAGGCTCCCGTTCTTACCCTCATCACTTCCCTACTCACATTGCAAAGCAGATGGCTCTCCAGCTGAAGCACGGACTTCAGAGTAAGTAGTCATCTTTAAGGTTATCATCACCAGACATAGAGGCAGCTTCTATTGGGCAGAAATGATATTAGATACTGCCCTTTTCTAGCAGAGGCCTAGGATTAAACTGGGCTCTTGGTGCTCAATGATCTAAGAACCAAGCTTTAACTTCCCTACTCTGGAGAAACTGAAAAGGTAACTCCAGCCGGGTGCTGGTGGCTCATGCTTGTAATCCTAGCTACTCAGGAGGCTGAGATCTGAGGATCGAGGTTCAAAGCCAGCCCAGGCAGGAAAGTCCGTGAGACCCTTATCTCCAATTAACCACCAGAAAACTGGAAGCGGCACTGTAGCTCAAGTAGTAGCACTCATCTTGAGCTGAAGACATCTGGGAAAGTGCCCAGGCCCAGAGTTCAAGATCCATGACTAACAAAAAACAAAACAAAACAAAAAATCCACAGATATTCTAAATAGGCAACAATGATGGTACCTGATAAGCTGAGGCAGGACAGGGTATGTGGTAGCTCTTCCGGGCTCTCTTTGGTCTCACTAAGCATGCTGGCAAGAGAGACATCTGTTTCTGTGGCCTTAGGGCATAAAAGAGAAAAAGACCATCTTGGCTGGTGAGAAAAGAGAGGCCATCCTGTCATTTTGCCTATAGGATCAGATTAAGGCAGTTGACAGGAACAAAAATATCTCGTTTTGTTGTTTTGGGTTTTTTTCCTTATACCTCTCAATAATCCTCCCTTATAACTTTTAATGGGCTTCATGTTATTTACTTACACACACACACACACACACACACACAGCACTGTGACCATATTTACCCCCACTCCATCATTCCTTTCCTACTCAATGGCTTTGATCAACATTTTCCTAAGCAGTTTGGAAGCTGAAGTAACCTAATAGTTCTAGAGTGGCAGTTTTCGATTTTCCAGAAGTTAATGTTATGTCTAGAAGGCCTCATTGTGTCTCCATGCCCAAGGTTTTCCTGGAAGCAGCTAAGGAAGAGTTTACATACCATGTCCTTCAACATGTCCGGGACAGTTCTGTTTTCTTCCATGTCTTCAGGAAGCTCAATTGCATATCCTTTACGAACTAATTCTAGCCCAATATCAAGTTTCTGAGAAATAAAACAAAAAGAATATTGTTCCCATTGTTAGGGAGGACAAATCTGAGTAAATAAGATGGAATAACTCAGATTAAAACTTCAAAGGTTGCCGGGTGCTGGTGGCTCACGCCTGTAATCCTAGCTACTCAGGAGGCTGAGATCTGAGGATCGCGGTTCAAAGCCAGCCCGGGCAGGAGAGACCGTGAGACTCCTATCTCCAATAAACCACCAGAAAACCGGAAGTGGCGCTGTAGCTCAAGTGGTAGAGCGCTCGCCTTGAGCTGAAGAGCTGAGGGACAGCGCCCAGGCCCAGAGTTCAAGCCCCACGACCGACAAAAAAAAAAAAAAAAACTTCAAAGGTTGTCCGGGACTGGGAAGGTGGCTCAGTGGTAGAGCGCTTGCCTTGCATGCATGAGGCCCTGGGTTCGATTCCTTAGCACCATATAAGCAAAAAGAAAAAAGCCGGAAGTGGCACTGTGGCTCAAGTGGTAGAGCGCTAGCCTTGAGCTGAAGAGCTGAGGGACAGTGCCCAAGCCCAGAGTTCAAAGGTTTTTTTGTGCGTGTGTGAGATGGTGACTAGGATAAAGGTTTCTGGGAGAGAAATAGGGTATGAAAATGCAGATGATAGATTGAGCAGTGTTACCTTCCCATTGCTGATATCATATAAGTAGATCTTTGGCCAAGTTGAGATCCCAGTCTGGACATAGCTAGAGATCTTGGCCACCAGGGGCTTCCATTCAGCACAGTAAGTGAGTCTGTCAAATTCATCTAAAGCTTCCTCTTCCCATTGTACACCTGGCAGAAAATTATAAGAGGGTGGAAGTGTCACAGAAGGTGCTGAAAGGGTATGCAGATACCCTGGAGGTAAGTTAGAACTATTTCTTTAAAAAAATTTATTGTCATTATAAAGATTACAGAGGTGTTACAGTTACATAAGTCAAATAATGAGTACATTTCTTTTTGAACAGTGTCACCTCTTCCCATCTCCACCCATAAGTTGAATAGTTCATTTTCAACATAGTGGGAACTATTCATTTTTACTCAGGAAGGTACTTATATACATCTCTGGTGAGTCTGCCTCACTGCCAGGCAAATTTCTGGTTGCTGCTTTTTCATACTAGTAATGAAAAAGCTTTGAGACTCCCAAGACTCAAAAAGGTTGGTAATGTGAGAGCTCCTCACATACGTTATATGAAAGACAAAGTTGACATGACTGATTTACCTGAGGGGGCGATCCGTGCCAAACTACATTCAATTGCTTGAAATGGAAGGCTTAGAAAGTCACTCCTAAATTGAGAGAAACAAATCAGAAGCTCAGGGCAAAGTGGGACTTCTTATAGTCTTCTTTTAGACAGAACCAACTGATCCAGTGAGAAGATAATCATCTGCTTTCTGAAAATAGATTTTCTTTTAAATCCCCGTGGTGATGTGAGCTTACTACTCTATATGGTCAGGGCTGAGCCAACAGCTGAGATTCCAGAACAGTCCACACTGACCTGAGAGCCCTGAGCTCCTTCAGTGGGCAATCTCCATTATCTCCAAAGTCAACAAAGTAGAGGTCTAAATTTCCATTCTCCAACGTGCCAAGGACCCGGGCTCGATACCAGGAATCATTTGCAGATAAAGGTGCAGCTACAATATCTCCTACATGCACAGTCAAGTCTTCAGGCTATACATGGGAGTGAGGAGTTGGGAGGGGGTAGAGTTATGAACGGTAGCTAATAAACAGGGAATACCATAAGGGAGAAAGAACAGTTGCCTCACAAGAAAGAAAACATATTACAATGAAAATGCCCCAGCCCTGTGCTTATGGCAACTCACCAGGCTATTCTCATAATGCTGGGTCATCTCATTGACAAGCTTATCCAATTGCAGGCTACGTGAGCCAATGATTTGGATCCAGAAGTGGTTAGGGTGTTCAGAGGCAGAAACGTAGACTTCTAGGTACTCATCAGCATGGAAACTGAAGTCAGGACTGGGGACTGAACATAGGGATAAGGATGGTGACTGTATTAGAACTGTGAATGGTACAAATACTGACTGAGTGGCTGTTAACCATTTAGAAAATGGCTGGAGGAACAACTGGAAGAATGTCCTGAAGAAAGGTACTAAGTTATCCTCAGTACCTTTCTGTGTAACTGAGAATAATATACATTCTTTGACATATGCCATGTATTCAGAGAAGTCCTCCATCTGGCAGGTGCATCAAGATCATGAAAAGGTACATGGGCAGTAAGCTGTACATGAATAATTTTGCTTGTTCCAGATTCCAGTCTACCGTGGATCCATCATGTGAGCATGGGCAACGTCATGAGCATGAGCCTCTGGGGGGCCCTGGTCTTCCCTGTTCATCCCAGCATCTTTGCATAGAGAGAAAGCTCATGGCTTTTTCAGTCTTCTTGAAGTGATGATTTTTAAAAAACAAACCAGACAGGCCATACAAAATTAGGCTAAGAATTTACTTATTCAAAAAGCATGTCTGGTGACAGAAGAATAAAACAGGCTCTGTTCAGGGTGGCTATGAGTGAGAGAAGGGGAGCATCAATGGAGAGAGTGAATAAGGGTGAATTTTGTCAACGTACATTTATATGCATACACCATGAAGCCAGGTGAAATTGTTTTAAGATGAGGAAGAATAAGGGAGAGTAATAAGGAAGATGAGGTTGATGGGATACATTGAATACATGTATGGACATGTCAAAATGAAACTTCTCTTATAGAAGTAGTTTACGCTAATGAAATTTTTCTTTTGCCAGATCTGGGGCTTAAACTCTGGGCCTGGGTGTTGTCCCTGAGCTTCTTTTGCTCAAGGCTAGTGCTCTAACACTTTAGCCACTTCCAGCTTTTTTGAACTGTTTATTGGAGAAAAGAGTCTCATGGACTATCCTGCCCAGGCTGACTTCAAGCCATGATCCTCAAACCTCAGCCTCCTGAGTAGTTAGGATTACAGGCATGAGCCACTAGTGCCCAGCCAGTAAAAGGTGTGTTTGGGGAAAGAATATACATTTAATTATTTGATGTACCATTCACAGACTAGTTTCCTGTGTCAGCATATTGTGATCTCATTTTCCTTCATCATTAGCTGGCTTACATTCAGAAAAATTATTGTAGCCAGGTGCCAGTGGCTCAACCTGTAATCCTAGTTACCAGGAGGCTGAGATCTGAGGATCATGGTTCAAAGCCAGCCCAGGCAGGAAAGTCCATGAGACTCTTATAGCCAATAAACCACCAGAAAACTGGAAGTGGTGCTGTGGCTCAAGTGGCAGAGGGCTAGCCTTGAGCTGAAGAGCTGAGGGACAGTGCCCAGAATTCAAGCCCCACAACCAGAAAAAAAAATCTCTTTCTCTCTCTCTATATATACATACACACTCACATATATATATACACATATATATTGTTCAGTATCAACCTAAGTAGACATTACCAGAAAGGCATGATTTACGATGATAGATTTACATTTTTTATTGATTCCTACTTGAGGTCAGATAAGCTAGTCGTCTTATCTTTTATATGATTAATGGGTTCTCAGTTTGTTACATACTTTCAAACATGGACATCTCTGGACTGGTTTGGGCTCCAGGTTTCTGAAAGCTGTCATCATTAGGTTTTTCCCAGGAACCTTCTTTGGGTCCTACAACAGCCATGTCACCACCTCCTTTGTGGGGAGGAATCTCCAAAGGTGCAGTCTGCCCCATGCTAGAACTGGTGTTTTTCCATGAAGCTGGTTCTCCAGCTCCTCCTGCCTCTGTCATTTCTTCTCTTCTCACACTGATTGGCTGCTTGCGTGGGACTCTGGTTTCTGCAGAATGGGCAATTCTCTTTCGAAGTTCTTCATCCTCTGAAACTTTCTCCAGTATCAAATGCTGTGGAAAATGAAAGAAGGTATAATCTATTCAGTCAGATACTGATCCAGGATCAAGTAAAGGGTTCTTTCACTCTAAGTATGATTCAGTGCATCAGCTACTTGCCTTAGCTGCTGCCACTTCCTTTTGTGTTCCTGAGATTTTTATAAGTCTTGATAGTAGTAATGTCCCCTCAGATTCTTTGTCACAGGTAATTTTTGCTCCTGAGGCCTTACAGATAGAACGAATCGTCTCGCCGCCTCTCCCTATATTGAACAACACATAAAAATCTGTCCTTCCCTCCTGGCCAATCTTAACTACTAGAAAAATCATAGTCAGTGCTACTTTCCAAATTTAGCAGGATATAAAATGAAAAATGGAAGGATGAGCTACTGGAGTTATTGTTATAGGAAAGAGAATAAAGGACTATCAATTTTATTTACTCTTGATGTTTAGCTATGTTAATTTCATGTCATTTCCATTTTTTGGATTCTTAGGCAAGACTATACTTTGCATCTCCAGCTCTTAAGAAAACATGCTGTCTTTTTTCCTCAACAAGGTCAAAGAGGGTAGATCAGGAAAACCCCTGGGAAAGTGTGAAAGGCAAAAGTAAAGAAAAAAGGAAATAGAGTAAGCTGTCCAGTGGTACCTATGATTCTGCCCACGGATCTCTGGGGAACTGAGAGCTGCTCAGACACAGGGGTATTCTCTGTCAGGATCTGATGGATGGCTGCTTTGGCCTTGCACACCTGAACAGGAAAACCACTGATAAGCAGCACTCGCTCATCGCCTACATCCTCTGTGTCCACATCAATCCGAGCACCTGTCTGTTTCCGCAACTGCAGAGAAAAAGGAGATGTAGCAGTACACTTTGAAAGAGCTCCAATTAGGGCCCAGCTAAGGATACTCTAAACTAAATCCTGGAGATACATGGAGTTAAGCAAAAGCACCAGCTAAGTACAAACACTATAAGCAATCCTCATTTACTTGTACTTATGGATGGAAATCAGTAACAAGAATAATTCCAAATAGCAGTTAATTTAAAACCATTTATTTCTCTTTGTGTTTATGTCCTTTTCTTTCCTGATTTTATATAGATTAGATAATCACAATTTTCTCTCTCTTCTTTTTTTGACAGTCCTGGGCTTGAACTCAGGGCCCTGAACTTTTTTTGCTCAAAGCTAGAGCTCTACCACATAAGCCTCAGCTCCATTTCCAGGTTTTGGTGGTTAACTGGAGATAAAAGTCTCATTCTCTGCTTCTATTGGGGGGAGGGAACATGGGGAGAGGGCATGGTGGCTTCAAACTGTGATCCTCAGATCTCAGACTCCTGAGTAGCTAAAATGACAGGCATGAGCCACAGGTGCCCATCTCATTCCTCATTAATGTGTGCGTGCGTGTGTGCATGCATGCGTGCGTGTGTGTGTGTGTGTGTGTGTTTTGCTAGGAAGTGAACCTGGGGCCTCATAGGTATTAGGTTAAGAATTCTACCACTGAACTACATCTTCAACCAAAAGATTTTGTTTTGTTGAAGAACAGAAAATAGTTTTTAAAAAAGCAATAATTCTGTATTTATTGCCAATTAATAAGTTAATTAATTCTATAATAGAAAAAAATTCAAGCTATATTAAGCTGAGAATCATCTAATCTAGTCATTAATTCTCTAAGAAGTATTCATCTTTGGAAAGTAAATAGTGTAGCTAGATAAAAAGCTTTTTTTTTTCATTTAAAAATATAAACAGAGCTGGGCGCTGGTGGCTCATGCCTGTAATCCTAGCTACTCAGGAGGCTGAGATCTGAGGATCATGGTTCAAAGCCAGCCCCGGCAAGAGAGCCCATGAGACTCCTATCTCCAATAAACCACCAGAAAACCGGAAGTGGCGCTGTAGCTCAAGTGGTAGAGCGCTCGCTTTGAGCTGAAGAGTTGAGGGACAGCTCCCAGGCCCAGAGTTCAAGCCCCACGACCGACAAAAAAAAAAAAAAAAAAAAAAAAATATATATATATATATATATATATATATAAACAGCTTGGGGGGTCTTTCTTGATATAGGGTCGGAGGAAGGGAACAAGAAATCAATAAACAGAATCAAGGCCTGGGAAAAGCCACTTGCTTGTTCCCACACTTACTTGTTTAATGTTGGCTCCTTGCCGTCCAATAATGAGCTTCACAGCCTCCTGGGGAACCCGCATCTCTATCTCAATGTCATCCTCTCCAACAAACGTCAGCCGTTCTTCTGCACAGATCAGAGCTTACTGGATTGGACTTAAATACACCCCAAAATACTATTATCCCTTCCTTGAATGTAAGAGACACTGATCCAAGATATAAGGTGTGGATCTAACCACAGTGAGAAGGAAAAGGAATATCTAAGTGGAAATTAAGAGATCTTCAAAAACTAGAGTTGAGGCTGAGGGTATAGTTCAGTGATGAGTGTAGTACATACTTAACATGCATAAGGCCAAGTTTAAGCCCCAGTACACATACATACTCACAAACAGGGCATTTTCTCTAAGATACTAAAATGGGAAATGTAGATTATGGAAAGAGGAGGCTCTTGGTTCTGAGCAAACTACTTTTCCCAAAACATTATTCTTGGATAAGAATGAAGGCAACAAATTGCTTTAAATATCTATAGTCACAAAAATTCTGAATTTTTTTTTTTGGGTCCAGTCGTGGGGCCTGAACTCTGGGCCTGAGTGCTGTCCCTCAGCTCTTCAGCTCAAGGCTAGCCCTCTACCACTTGAGCCACAACACCATTTCCAGCTTTTTACTTTTTGCTTATGTGGTGCTGAGGAATCGAACCCAGGGCCTCAGGCATGCAAGGCAAGCGCTCTACCACTGAGCCACCTTCCCAGCCCCCTGAATTATTTTTGTTTTTGGCAGTACTAGGGTTTGAATTCAGGGCCTTTCTAGGCAGGTGTTCTACCATTTGAGTCACACCTCTAGGCCATTTTTGCTTTAGCAATCCTAGGTAATTTTGCCTAGGATTGGCATCAAACTGTGATCTTCCATGTTATGGGCTCCTGTGTAGCTGGGACCACAGATGTGCTGCCATACCCAGCTAATTGTACTGAGGGGGGGGGGTCTTGCTGTTTTGTCCAGTAGAAGTTCAAACATGATCCTTTGGATTTCTAACCCCTGAGAATCTGAGATTACAAGTGTACTGCACCTAGCTTTCTTGAATGACTTTTACATTAATCATTTCTCTAAGTTCTATTCTCTAGCTTGTAGGATACTACTCATTTGTTTAGTTAGGTACTGGTACTGGACTTGAATTCAGGGTCTCTTGCTCAGCTTTCTTGCTCATGGGCTGGTGCTCTACCACTTGAGTCCAAAATCTCCAGTCCAAAATTTTCCTGGTTAGAGATGGGAGTCTCATAGATTTTTCTGCCCAGGCTGTATTTGAACTTTGGTCTTTGAGGTCACAGCTTCCTGAATAGCTAGGATTACATACAGGGTGAGCCATCAACATGTGGCTGGGATAGTGACTTCTGACAACTAGAGAGAAGCATATAAATAAGAGTATAACAGACCAATGGGATTATACAACTTGATCATTTCATAGGTTAGCTACACAGAATACAAAGAAGAAATATTTTCAGTATGATTCCTTACCAAAAGCCAATTTTATCTCAGACACATTACTGGTCTGGCAAGGAAAAAACTTTTATTTTAATTGACAAGGCAGAAACATGATCTAAATATATCTAAATAGGTACAATGATGAAGAGCTTCACATACCTCTGCTTTCTCTATACCTACGGTATAGGATATAGGCAACTGCTGCACTGGCTGGGATGCCGAGGCCCAGGGCTATCTTCTGAATAGTGGACAAGCTTGTCCAAGAAGTCTGCTCAGTGGACATTTTCAGCTATACACTGACTGACATCCTGAAAGAAGCAAACCAAGGAAATGTTGGCATTTTCAACCAACACTTGTCTGGCTGGCAGAGAGGCATGAGAACACACTGTTACTGAAAAGAACACAAGTGCTGATTTTCCCATTTAAGAACTTCAGCAAACTCAAAAATCTGTTTCATGGAAAAAATGTCTCATTGTATTTTAAACATGTTAAAGGAAACATGCACATAAAATGAAATAGGAAACTTTACTTTTTTTTTCTCAAGGAGATCTATGCATTGATCAGTTTTTTGTTTTGTTTTTGTTTTTGGCCAGTCCTGCGGCTTAGACTCAGTGCCTGGGCAATGTCCTGAGCTTCTTTTGCTCAAGGCTAGCAGCACTCTACCACTTGAGCCACAGTGCCACTTCTGGCTTTTTCTATTTATGTAGTACCAAGGAATCGAACTGGGCTTCATGCATGCTAAGCCACATTCCCAGCCCACTGATCAGTTTTAAAAGCCAAAGGAGCAGTGGCCACAACCATAATCCAACTTAACTAGAAAAAAAAAAAGTACAGCTGGAGGTTTGGTTTCAATGGCACACTGTCAGCTTTGTAAGCTATGTGTGCCCATGCGTACACATACACTCTTAGATTTTATATCAAATGATTTAAAATTCCTTATCTATGCCTCTGGATATTCTCAGAAGCCATTGTTTCTGCAAGGACTGCCTTTTCTAGGCCTGATAAAGACCATCTTACTTATCTTGCATGGTGATATAGCCTTCATTTACTGTCTCTCCGGATTTCTATTTATAGCTCAGCCAATAGTGAAATAGGATTCTACCTTGCTCCTTTACTAGAATTAACTTGCCAGACAATCAACCTAGAGAACATGCATGAGGACTTATTTTACTCTGCAGCAGCCAGAAGGCAATTATTCTTGCCACAAAAATATTTCCTTGGGCTGGGTGCTGGTGGCTCATGTCTGTAATCCTAGCTATTCAGAAGGCTGAAATCTGAGGACTGCAGTTTGAAGCCGGCAGTAACAAGAAAGTCTAAGCTTAACCACGATTAAGTACCCACCCCGAAAAAAGCCAGAAGTGAAGCTGTGGCTCAAGTGGCAGAGCACTAAAACTTGAGCAATAAAGCTTAAGGACAGTGTCCAGGCCTTGAGGTCAAGCTGCAGAAAAGACACAGAGAGACAGAGAGACAGAGCGAGAGAGCGAGTGAGTAAGAGAGAGAGAGAGAGAGAGAGAGAGAGACAGACAGACAGACAGACACAGACAGACAGACACACACACCAATAATAATAAAATAAAAATAAAAATCCTTGGTTTCTGTGTCCTCTTTCTCTTCCATTCTCTTCCTGTTTCTCTGGCAAATACTTCTCCATTTGGGGCTTGTCAACCTATGCTTTCTAGCCATTGCTAATGTGACTGCTTTCTTTAGGAAATTTCATCAACACCTGAAGCTTCAATTATTGACTGCATGCTAATGACTCCAACCACGTAGTACCTGGTCAGAAGCACAAACATCTTAGCTGGGCACCAGTGGCTCATGCCTGTAATCCTAACTACTCAGGAGACTGAAATCTCAGAATCATAATAGGAAGCCAGTCCAGCACAAAAGACCATGAGATTCTTATCTTCAATCAGCCACCAAAAAGTCAGACCTGGAGTTGTGGCTCAAGTGGGAGAATGCCAGCCTAGAGCGAAAAAGCTAAGGGAAAGCAACCAAGTTCTGAGTTCAAGCCCCAGTAACAGCATGCATCAATCTATCAATCAATAAGCACAAACCTTTTATTTAGAACATTGCAATGGCCTTACTAGCATTTATTAAAATCTGACACTATACCTTCATTTTGCTGCCAAGAAAATCTTAACATTTCCCTCCTTGTAACTCCACATACATTCAAACTCCCTTGACAATTATTTCACATCTTTCTTCTCCAACCTTAAAAAACTTTTTCCTTTTTTTTTTGGGGGGGGGGAGGGTCCGGTCGTGGGGCCTGAACTCTGGGCCTGGGCGCTGTCCCTCAGCTCTTTAGCTCAAGGTTAGCGCTCTACCACTTGAGTCACAGCGCCACTTCCGGGTTTTTTCTTTTTTGCTTATGTGATGCTGAGGAATCGAACCCAGGGCCTCAGGCATGCAAGGCAAGTGCTCTACCACTGAGCCAACTTCCCAGCCCCTTCCTTTTTTTATTTTTGGGTCTGGTGATGGGTCTGAACTCTGGGTCTGGGCACTGTCCCTCAGCTCTTCACCTCAAGGCTGGTGCTTTACCACTTGAGCCACAGTGCCACTTCTGGCTTGTTTTCTGCTTATGTGGTGCTGAGGAATTGAACCCAGGGCCTCATGCATGCAAGGCAAGCGCTCTACCACTGAGCCACCTTCCCAGCCCCAAACAACTTCTTTCTTAAATTCCTTAAATGTTCTTGCTTCCTACTTCATTAAGGAAGCAGAGCCTTCAAAGAAAGTATCCACAAACACCCATTCATTCACCTTTCTCTATTTGATCTTTTCTCCTGTAACAATAAATTGTCGTTATTCCTTGTACTAAGTCTTTTTTTTTTTTTTTTTTTTCAGTCATGGGGCTTGAACTCTGGGCCTAGGCGCTGTCCCTCAGCTCTTCAGCTCAAGCCTAGCACTCTACCACTTGAGCCACAGCACCACTTCCAGCTTTTTTTGTTTATGTGGTGCTGAGGAATTGGACCCAGGGCCTCCTGAATGAGAGGCAAGCACTCTACCACTGAGACACCTTCCCAGGCCCATACTGAAGTCTTTCATAAAAATGTCCTCCAAAGCTAGGTGCTCGTAGCTCATGCCTATAATCCTAGCTACTCAGGAGGGTTGGGGTTCAAAGCCAGCCCAGGCAGGAAAGTCTGTGAGACTCATCTCCAATAAACCACCAGAAAACAGGAAGTGACACTGTGGCTCAAGTGGTATAGCATTAGCCTTAGCTGAAGAGCTGAGGGACAGCGCCCAGGCCCAGAGTTCAAGCACCACGACAAAGAAAAAAAAAGTTCTCCAAGTTCTTCTTTTGGTATTGTTAATGCTTTCCTCTCTCCTGGGCTTCCCATCAGTAAGTATTCTCTCTTCTTAAAGAAAGCCTGTCTTCATTCTACTTGCTCCTCTTAACTACCTCCCATGTTTTCCTTTCCTTTTACATGAAGAACTGAGAGTATTAATACTTAGGTATTAGGTCTCGTCTTGTCTGCTTTTGCCACAGGATCTGGAATAGTGGGTGTTACTCTTTTCAAAAACACCTTCTGTTTTGGGGCTGGGAAGGTGGCTCAGTGATAGAGCGCTTGCCTTGCATGCATGAGGCCCTGGGTTTGATTCCTCAGCACCACATAAGCAAAATGAAAAAAGCCGGAAGTAGTGCTATGGCTCAAGTGGTAGAGCACTAGCCTTGAGCTGAAGAGCTGAGGGACAGCGCCCAGGCCCAGAGTTCAGGTCCCACGACCAGACCCCCCCCCAAAAAAAAAACAAACAAACAAAACACCTTCTTCTCTTGGGCTTTCAAAACAGCACATCCTCCTCACTTTTCTCCTCTTCTGGCTAATCTATCAAGACTCAGTCTCTAGTCCTTTCTCATTTGTTAAACCTTGTCACACCAGATGTCCCAAGGAGTTGTTCTTTCCTCTCTTCTATTATACTAAAATCTCATCTATATGTTGTTACAGTTAGGACTTCCTCCTAAGCTTTAAATTTGTAAAATCAACTGCATACATAATATGTGCAGACAAGTGGATGCCTTTTTTTGTTATTGTTGTTGTTGGTTGTGGGACTTGAACTCAGGGCTTGGGCATTGTCTCTGAGCCTCTTTGTGCTCAAGGCTAGTGCTCTACCACTTGAGCCACAGCACCACTTCATTTTTTTGAGTGGTTAATTGGAGATAAAGTCTTATGGGGCCAGGCACCAGTGGCTCGCTCCTGTAACCCTAGCTACACAAGAGGCTGAGATCTGAGGATCACAGTTTAAAGCCAGCCTGGGAAGGAGAGCCCATGAGACTCTTATCTCCAATAACCCACTCAGAAAACTGAAGTGGCGCTGTGGCTCAAGTGGTAGAGCGCTAGCCTTGAGCTGAAGAGCTGAGGGATAAAGCCTAGACCCAGAGTTCAAGCCCCACAACTGACCATAAAAAAAAAAAAAGCCTTATGGGGACTTTTCTGCCACTATCTTCAGATCTCAGCCTCCTGAGTAGCTGAGATTATAGTAGTGAACCACTGGTGGCCAGCTACAAATCTATTATTTATGTATTTATTTGTCAGTTGTAGGGCTTGAACTCTGGGCCTGGGCACTGTCCCTCAGCTCTTCAACTCAAGGCTAGCATTCTACTACTTGAGCCACAGTGCCACTTCCAGCCTTTTCTGTTTACATGGTGCTGAAGAATCAAACCCAGGGCCTCATGTATGCCAGGCAAGCACTCTACCACTGAACCACCTTCCCAGCCCCTACAAATCTATTTTTTAAAGACAGTAGGGTTTTTGTAGTTGTTTTTTTGCTAGTACCAAAGCTTGAACACAGGGTCTTGTGCTTTTGACTGGCCTTTTCACTCATGTCTGGTGATCTAACATTTGAACCCTATCTCCAGATCAATTTTTTTTGTTGTTGTTGCTGGCTAATTGGAGACAGAATCTCTAAAACTGTTCTATCAGGGCTGCCTTTGAAGGGCAATCCTCATTGCTCAGCCTTCTTAATAGCTAGGATTACAGGGAGATCTCCTGTCACTTGACTCTAGACAATATCGGACTCCTGGCTTGAAAGGGGCGGAGGGGGGGAGGGAATCCCTCTTTGTTGAGGAGTGTTTTCAAGTGTCTTGTCTATTACAGACCATTAGTTATCCAATATCCAATATATTATTGTGCTCTACTACTTGAGAAAGGCCTATAGCTCTGCTTTTTGCAGGTTATTTTGGAGATGAAATATCCCAGATTTTTCTGCTCAGCCTGCATTTGAACCATATTTGTCTCAGGCTCTTGAGCAGCTATATTAAAAATATGAACCACTGATGTACTGCTCTGTACATCACTTTTAGAGACTCAGCATCAACATGAAGGAATACTGTTCTCTTCCCATCCTTTCAGGGATTGTACTGGGAATTGAACCTAGAGCCTCATGGATCCTAGGAAACTATTACTGAACTACACTTTTTGATATTGTTTTGAGTCCTGATAAGTTTTCCAGGCTTTTAGTACTTCTGCCTCAGCCTCCTAAGTAGCTGGGATTACAGGAGTATACTACCATATCTAGCTTTCCCCCACTTTTTTTTTGGGTCCGGTTGTGGGGCCTGAACTCTGGGCCTGAGCGCTGTCCCTCAGCTCTTCAGCTCAAGGCTAGCACTCTACCACTTGAGCCACAGCGCCACTTCTGGCTTTTTTTTTTTCTTCTGCTTATGTGGTGCTGAGGAATTGAACCCAGGGCCTCATGCATGCAAGACAAGTGCTCTACCGCTGAGCCACCTTCCCAGCCCGCTTTCCCCCACTTTTAAGGGAAAGATGGAAGGACTGAGTTTAATGTTTGGTATTTATTTTCATTTATGAAGTTTATTCCTCAAATCACTGAATAAAACTGTTTTCTTTTTTTTTTTTTTTTGGTTGGTTGTGGGGCTTGAACTCTGGGCCTGGGCGCTGTCCCTCAGCTCTTCAGCTCAAGGCGAGCGCTCTGCCACTTGAGCTACAGCACCATTTCCGGTTTTCTGGTGGTTTATTGGAGATAGGAGTCTCACCGTCTCTCCTGCTAGGGCTGGCTTTGAACCTCGATCCTCAGATCTCAGCCTCCTGAGTAGCTAGGATTACAGGTGTGAGCCACCAGCGCCTGGCTGTTTTCTTGTTTTTTAAAGAGCCAGCAAGAAAAACCTTATATGACTCTTTGTATTATAACATAAATACCTTTAACATACCTGAGGAAACATAATTGCTTTCATAAAGAAAGGTTCTGCATAAATAATTTGTAAATATATGACTCCCAAATTGATATTTTCCTACACTAAGAAATAGTTTATTCAGGATGTCTACAAAAGGTTTTATTTGTTACTGCATAGATTTTCTCATGGTCTCCAAACATCTTCATTATTAATGTGTTTCAGTTAAGTACTTCTGGCTTATTATGGGTTGAGCATGCTAGGAAAAAAGGAGGAATAATTCCTGGTCTGAGCCTCACAACAGTGGCTCATGCCTGTAATCCTGGCAACTCACGAGACTGAAATCTGAGGATGGAAGTTTGGAGCCAGCATGGGCAGACAAATCCAGGAGACTTATCTCTAATTAACTAGTAAAAAGCTGGAAGTGGAGGTGTAGCCCAAGTGGTTATGTGCCAGACATGAGTTAAAAAAAAAAAGCTGTGCCAGAGTTCAAGCTTCTGAATTAAACTCCCCCCCCCCATCCCTGCCCCACCAAAAATAAAAATCTTGTTCTGAAGCAGTTTGGTGAGAGGTAAAACTAAAACAACTAATTAGACAGCAAAATAAATTTAAAAAAATCTTGCCCAATTCAATATCAGGAAAGAACTAGAAGTTAAATAGATTTCTTAGAAAGGACATAGTTGAAAAAGTACTACTCACTTTCTGCCAAATTAGTCAAACCAATAAATGTAAAGTGTCAAATGTGAGGCTGGCTCTAGGCATACAGGTTAAGATTTAGCTTGTCTGGTAGGAGAAATCTTGATAGGCAGATGCCTATAGGTGGTTCTTGGAAACCTAAATAAACGTGCTCTCTCATTTAACATGATCTTGCTAGACATACTTCTGGTTTATGCAAAAGTTTTAGAACTGAGAGAGACCATAGAGATTATTCTGTTCCCCTTGTTACAAATGGAGAAATGAAGGCTGAAGGATATGAAAATTTCTCCATATTACAGAGTGCAAGGAAAATAATTCTGTTTTGAAGGCCACTCATAATCATATCTCTGTAGGGAAGCCCAAAACACTTTTTTTTTGTTTTCCAGTCCATAGTATTCATTTATTTATAAGAGAAACTATTCATTAGCCCACATATTTATATTTCATAGTTCAGGAACACAGGTCAACCCAAAGAAATTCTTTACATTCCAAATTCACTTTGCACTCTGAAAGATTCCTGCATTCTTCATCTCCTCAAAATCCTTCATGGAATCATAATTTCTGTAGAAATCTGCATATGTCTTCTTTCCTGGTTCAGCCACACCAAGCTTACAGAGAGCTGAGATCCCCAGAGATACAATGAATATGAACCATGCTTGGCCAGAAGATCCAGCATCTAAGGTGTTGCCAGTGTACCGGAAGCCATGGTAGCATCTGGACACCAATGTCCTTCCCCGCAGCAGACAAAATAGACTCAACACACAAAAAAATTTTTTTTTCAGTTCTGAAACTATGAGAATCAAATCCAGGGATTGCTAATGTTTTTCCTTTTTTCTTTTGGTCAGTCGTGGGGCCTGAACTCTGGGCCTGGGCACCGTCCCTCAGCTCTTCAGCTCAAGGCAAACACCCTACCACTTGAGCAACAGCACCACTTCTGGCTTTTTTCTGCTTATGTGGTGCTGAGGAATCGAACCCAGGGCCTCATGCATGCAAGGCAAGCACTCTACCACTGAGCCACCTTCCTAGCCCCTGAACTGTAATACTCCTATTTTACACTTTCTGCCATAGCTGGAATAATAGATGCATTCCACACACCAAACTTTTTCTGTTGAGATAAGATCTTAAAAACTTTTTTTTTTTTAAACCAAGGCTGATTTCAAATCTTGATCCTTCTACTCTGGGCCACATCTGTAGTTCTTGATATATTGTGGGGAGAATGAATTGAAAGCTAATGCCTCTTCAGATATTACAAATTATCTTGTGCTGAGTTCCCAGCCGATGTCCAAAGGGATGAGTTAATGAAGTCAAATCAGCAAAACTTACCACAATAATAACTGTCTTAAGGATCAAGGACTACAGGGAGGAAACACATACACACACATACACCCCCAAAACCTTCTGACACACTATTCTGACCACTGCAACCCCCCCCTAATATTTAGAGATAACTAAAGAAAAAGCTGAGTGGGGGGTGGGTGGGAGAGAGGTGGATAAAAAGGCAAACTAGTTAGCCCTGTGCACAAAAACTCAGGGACAGCGCCTAGGCCTTGAATTCAAGAAGCCCAGCATCAAAAAAAAACAAAACAAAACAGCAAATTAATAAAAGAATGGTGCCTCCGTCTCTAAAGGAACCAGCCGAAGGGGCAAACCCTCCCGCAGCGGACTCCACAACGAACTAGCCCTGGTACCAGAGAACGTCCTTTGGATTTGGGTAAAGCGGCCCGCCTGCGCCTCCCCGGCTCCTGGGCCCCACACCCTCAGCAGGCCGCCTGGCATTCCTCAAACCCGCCTTTGTGCATCCCGGTTACCACGACTGCCCACAGCCCGGCCTCTCCCCACCCCCAAACCCCGCCCTGGAACCCCACCGTTAGCGCTCCTCGAGAGTCAACTGTCTTGCTCTCCGCTTCGCACCTCAACCCAGCCGCCGCCGCCGACTCCTCCTCCCACACGCACCACAAATCGAGCTCCGCCCGCCGCGCCTCAGCCACCACTGTCCCGCCTCCAAAGCGCGTCCGCACTAATCAACGTCTAGTTTGTAGTCAACCAATCGTCTCCCCCTACCCCGACCAATCATTCTACGAGTTATCGTGAGTGACATAGTTACTGAGCGCTAAAATCCAATTACCCGCAAGAAATCCAAGACCGGCCCACCTCATCAGCCAGTAAGATCCGGGAAAAGTAGTTGTTGAGCTCGCACCTGCTGAGAATTAACTAGCCAATTAGAAGCTCCAACAGAGTCTTCTGGGTCCGCCTCTAAGCCAATCACAGAGGAGGCTTGTGCCTCCTTCTTCATGAGGTGAAGAATCGGCGCTGGCGAGGCCGGGACCCAGGTGTGAGGGGTTGACTCACGTGTGTCACGCTTCCCAGACAATTAGCGGCTTTGTACCGAGCCGATACCATTCCGCTGGGGTAACGGGTTCAGGATAGTGGTACACTCCACCACTTGCTTTTCTTGCGAACTTTTGCCTCGACCTGTCCCCTAAATTCCCCCGGAGAGACGTGGGAACACTTAAAACTTTTTTTTTTTTTTTGAAAACACGAAATAGATTTCTGGACAGGGGGAGGCGCCGCACAGCCCAGCAGAGCGGGGACCCGCGCTGGCTTTCCCCGGCCGAGGCGTGAACACACCCTGTGGATGGACGAGCGGTGGCGGGAGCGGCGGAGACTGGACCTGGGTAAGGGACCTGTGGGCGCAGCGGCGCGGGGCCCGCCCCGCTGGGGGTGGTGGTGGTGGAGGGCCCGGGCCCGGGGGCGCTCCCGGGGGCCGTGTCCTCAGGGGTGGGTTTCTGCCAGACAGCGGTTTGCTTTGGCAGGTTGAATTCCAGCCGCCGTTAAGAACGGTTAGGAGCCTCGCCAGCAGGCCCCTGCGCCCCGATCCCCACGCCAGAGACTCATCCGTGGGGACCGGGGGCCGGATCTACCCTAAGCATGCTAATGAATACAAGATTATAATTCTGATTAATGAGGGAGGTGCCTTTGCGCTTCAGTTTTTCCCATTTCTGTTGTGATTATTATTATTATTTTATTTTTTAGAGAAAGGATTTTGCTGTGTTGACCAGGCTGGCCTCCAACTCTTGAGCTCAGAACGATCCTCTTTGCCTCAATATCCCGAGTAGCTGCAACTACAGACACATTCTATTTTTTAAAAAAAATGTATGTGTTTTGTGTAAGGAATACATGCATATTTTTAGCAAATTCAAAAGGAAAAAAATATAGAAAATGTCTCTCATCTTTCCTTCAGAGGCAATCAATATTTCCAGTTTCTTGCGAAATTTTTTACAAAATAATCCATAACTCACATGCATAAGCATATATTTTTACCCAGTTAATGTAATCTGGAAGCCTTCCCATAACAGCTCATGTGTATCTGTCTCACAGTATGATGGATTGATATATAAAATACACTTAACAAGTCCTTTAGAATTATATACATAGGAGCACAATTCATTTATGCCCCTGTGTATCTGCATGATAATTACTTAGGAATGCAAAAACTAGGTTTAAAAAGAGCATATTTTCCATTTATTAGATACAGTTCTGTAAATTCTCTCCCTCCTACAAAGAATTTTCTAATTTTCATTCCACCAGCAATATTTGAAAAGGAGTTTGCTTAGTATTGCCAATTTGCTTTCCATGGAGGTTTTAACAGTTTTTTTTTTTCCCACCAGCCATGGATAAAAAGGACCTGTTTGATAGCACACTTACACAATATGTTATCACCTCTTGATTTTTAATAATCTGATAGTGTAATTGGCTTCTCATTGAATTCTAATTCATTCTCTCTCTCTCTCTCTCTCTCTCTCTCTCTCTCTCTGCAGTAGAAGGGATTAAATTCATTGCCTTTGTATGCTAGGCATGTACTCTACCATTTGAGTCCTGCCCCCAGCACTTTTTGTTCTGATTACTTTTGAGATAGCTCCCTCTTCAATCCTCCCATATTTCCTGTCATCTCAGAATAATAGATGTGCAATACCATGCTCAGTTTTTTTCTGTTGAGATTTGATGTCTTGGACTTTTTTTGGGGGGGAGAGGAGGCCTGGGTTGGTTTAGAACAACAATCATCCTAATCTTAGCCTCACATGTAGCTGGCACAGGCACATGCCACAGCCCCAGCAATTGATGGAAAAAGCTAGGATTATAGGCATAAACAAGTGGCATCCAGCCTTGGATATTGAATCTTTCCTTTATATTCTCTCTTTGTGTATACATTTAAAATACTTCTTTCCCCAGTATGTTCAATGTCTTTTTATTAATGGTGTTTTTTTTTCTGTGTAACATCTTGATAACATTATGTTGATAACTTTTGGGGTTTTTCTATCATATTCAGAAAATCTCCCATTTACTAAAGAATACTTTTGAAATTGCTGTAATTCTATTTACTCAGGAGGCTGAGATCTGAAGGATGATGGTTTGAAGCTAGCCCGGTCAGAAAAGTTTGCCAAATTCCATCTCCAAAATAACCAGCAAGACTCAGTGGTAGAGTACTAGCCAAATAAACATGAGGACTTCAGTTTAAGCCCTGGTACTAGCAAACAAACATGTTGTCTTCCTTCAGTACTTGTGTAGTGTTCTTCTTTTGGTATATTTGATTAATTGAGGACTTATTTTTATATAAAATTAAAAGATAGAGATCCAGCTTTTTTT